TTTTTAGTGTTTTTACCTAAATGTCATTTTTTCTACGTAAATTGTATCTGAAGTATTAAAAGTGTGGTCACTAAGTTTAAACTATTCAAGTGAATTTGAGCGGTTATACTGATGGAGATTCAGCAAATGTTCAGACTGGGACAATCAAAATTAGTCACACAGTTCTATAAGAAAGGATGCTCTTCTACGTCCCAAGCCCTGCACTGCTGTTTAGTACAGTCACAGTACAGTTTATTTGTGAAGCTTATTTTATTAATGCAATGTCTATTTCATGTTCTTAAGTTCATAAATTTTATAAATAAATTTTAACTGGAATTAATATTTAAATAAATGAAATTCCAAAAAAATGTCTATCATTATTGTTATATATTTATTACATTGAACTATATTAAATTTTATTAAACGATTCTCTAAGTTTAAATAACTTTTGCATAATTAGTGTCAAAAATTTTTAATTTTGCGTTGAGTTAAAGATTTTTACGTTTTCTATTTATTTTTTTTTATTTTTCTAGTGAAAATTAGGGAAAAAAATTTTTAGTGGAAAAAATTTACTTTTAGTGGAAAATATCTAGTGATCTAGGGGGAAAGCGCCATAGGCATCTGACAACACTGGATATCAGCCATTTAGGAAACTTATTTGACTATTTGTAAAACACGGACGAATAGTAAGGAGACCGATCTTGCTGTAGTAGCGCTTCTGAAAATGTCAGAAAAACATGTACGATAAATGCCAGTTTCACTGCATTTTACTCAACCACCAAAGTAGCTGAGCATGCGCATTAGCCATGTGCTGTCTCTTTCTCTCGCAAAAAGTGTGCGAGTGAGATCTGGCTGACGTATATTTCTCAAGTCTTCCATGCGTGTTGTGATGAAGGGGTTATGTGTTATTGTTATGTTATTATTTTAATAATTATTATTAATGTTTATTTTATATACTTAAACATGATTTTGGAGATACAATATCGCAATGGTAAATAAAATTTCTGAAATAAACACTGAACACTAAAATTTTTTTTGTGACATATATGTATATCGCATAACCACACTTTTCATCTGTCAAAATTGAGGTCCAATGCGCATGCTCAACTGCTTTGGCCAGTTGAGTACAATGCACTGAACCTGGCACTTATCGTACATGTTTTTCTGACATTTTCAAACGCAGAGATCGGTCTCCTTACTATTCCTCCGTGTTGTAAAATTTTATATGAAAAGTGTCGGACTTCCCCGACTATTTCCGACTTCAACCGAGTTCGACTTCGTGTTTAACCCGAAATGTCCTGATTGAATCCGATACTATGATAAATTTACACGTATATGAAAAAATATTATTTATAACTAATTTGAATTAAAAATTCATACTCAAAAATGACCATTTTAAAATTACACAATTTGCATTAGTTCATATCCTATTAAATTATTTTCGTATTAAGATATTCTACAAGTAAATCTTTTTCTCACATTTGCTAAAAAAAACTCCATTGCTCAGTGTATAAATATATATATATATATATATATATATATATATGCGTATTAGTATAGGTTTGCGAGCGTCTATGTATAAGTAAAATAATCTGTGTATCTACCGTTTATGTATGTGTGCGTTTGTGTTCTTCCAATCGCCGTGATGTGGTAATTGGAATGACCCATGAGACAAATTTAAAAATGACGGAACTGAGCAACAGTAGCCGAAGTTTCTTTTCTTTTTTTCCCTTTCTTCCAAACATTCCGAATTTTTCATATAAAATTTTTCAAATTGTAAGAAGCTACGTTATCTATATTAATAAAATTAGACTTTTGTCTGTACATTGCTTAGAACTTAAAAATTCATGTATAATTGTTCGTTTCAAGTCATAAGGATTCTAAAAATAGCATTAAAAAAAATTCTGTCTGTCTGTCTGCACAATATTTTGTTCGCCAATCACGCATAAACGGCTTGACCGATTTAAGTGAAACTTGGCAGACTTTTAGGTATTAGACTAACTTAAAATCTTAGCCATACTCCATTAAAAAATATTAACTTGAACGGAAGTTATGGCACATTTTGTAAAAATCGAAATTTTAAAATTTTTTATTTTTCGCTTATTTTTACTAGACTTTTTTTAGAAGTTTTTTGAGGTTAATTAATCGCATTTTTACCTTAAAATTGAGAAAATAACTAATAGATTTAAAATTGTGAAGAAAAATTCCAAAAATCAAATTTTTTAAATTTGATTTCTGTTATATTTTACTAAACCTTTCTGAGCTATGTTTTTGAGTCCAATTAATCAAATTTTAACTTTAGAATTAAAAAACATGACAAAGATAAAGAAATGAAAAAATGTTTTTTTAGTAACAACCTTTTTATAATTATTGTTTTCGGGTTATAGATTTTTATTTTAATATTATAGTTTAAATAATATTAAAAGATTTTAAGTTATAAAAAAAGTATAAGAAATTAAAATTTGAAAATAATTATTTAAATAAAATTTTATAATGCTGTTTCGATTTTGTCTCAACTGATTATTTGCTATCTTCCTTCCCGCAATTGACTGTCTTATTTTGTCAACACGTTTGAATGCTTTTATATAAGTATTCAATATATATATATTTAATTTAAATAAATTTGAAACAGAAAGAAAATGATCAAATTAGTTTCAATGAAATTGGCTAAATACCAGTCTATTTGTATATATATATATATATATAGCTTAGAACATAAAACTTCTTAAATAATGTTTCTTTTTAAGAAATAAAGAATCTAAAAATGAAAAAAGGTAATAGAATAATGATGCTGTTTGAAAAATTTGGTTCGAGAATTATCAAAACAAGGCTTAAACGAAATCAAATTAATCATGGTAATCTGTTAGAGATTCAAAACATTTGAAATCATTAATTACGATGTTGATAAAGAAAAATAAAAGGTTAGTATATTTTTAGTATGTGTTTTTTAGATTTAAAATTTAACAAATTTGTGAAATTATTAGTTCAAGTTTTTAATAACAATCAACTATCTATACAAAAAATTATTTGCACGAAAATACTGTTGGGCGCACACCATGAGATTTCTCTCCCGCCGAAGGCGGGTACGAAAGCTAGTATTTTAATAAAAGTGCAAATTTCCTTAAATTGAAATAAAATATATTACAATGTAATACAAGTTTTTGTACATTTTAATAATAATTTTCTTTCAGTGTAATTATTTAATTAAAATATTTTTTAATGAAAATAATAAAAATCAAACATTTCAGTCATTAAATTCCGTTTTATTGCACTGTTTTGTAAATTTTGCAACATTTTCCCATTTTATAAGAAATTAGAACAAAATGTATTTCAAATGCATTTTTTTAAACAAATTCAATTTTTTTTAGTTAATATATTTTGAAAGTCGATGAAAAACTGAAACTTTTTCGTATCTTAGTGATAATTCCTAAATCCAATACTTTTAGAGTTAGATGTCATTAGGGTGACTGCCCCAGTGAATGAACAAATAGTGATTTTAGCAACTTTGTCTAGTTGTTATTTTTAAACGGTAGTTCAATGACAGCTAAAAAATGTAGTACTGTATTCTAGAATACTCTAATTTTTTAATAACATTTTTTCTTTTTTAAATAAAATAACCAGAACTTAATAATTAATAAAAATATAAAAAATTGATGAAAACACCAGTGAATGAACATGGTAAATCAGTGAATGAACACTCGTTATTTTTAGATCATTTGCTACTTCAAATATTTTGAAAATTTAAAAAGATTTATTCTTTATTACCTTTTAAACAAAGAAGTGACATCAAATATAATCTTTAAAATATTTTCGATACTTATAAATCAGATAGTGGCCATTTTTAATGTTAAAGTAAAACTTTTAGGGTTAATAAAACAGCGTAAATGAAATATATATATATTTAAATGTAATTCGTAAATGTATTTCAAACTAAATATAATAAATAAATAAACTAAATATAATTATATTATATTATAATTATAATATGTAAATGTAATTATACAAAGATTCTTTGAAAAGAATTCTTTATATGGATTTAAAGTGAGTGTTCATTCACTGGATCAAAAGATAAAAACTGTTTGCACCAGTGAATGAACAGTGGCTATTTACTGAATCATTGAAAAAAAATGTACCACTGTTTGAGCAGTTTAAAACTTTCAGTAATATAAATATTTTTTTAAAAAAAGGATTGATAATGAAACTTTAAAGCTCAACAAATTTAATGATAACCTATTTTATATATTTTATGAAAGAATTATATTTTAAAAAAATGTTTTAATTTTGAGTGCGCTCTCTGTAATGTAATTATTATTCTGATTCTAGATCGCAAAATCGGGTATTCCTTTAAAATTTATTTTATTGTAAAATTATTTTAAAATGATTTTTCATAATTTTTATGTTTTTTAATAAAAAGAACCTTTTAAATAATTAATGTACCATTCTTTTATTAAATAATAATTTTTAGCCTTAGTTATATGTACTTTTCAGAGGAATGTTCATTTATTGGTGCATGTTCATTCACTGGGGCAGTCACCCTATAAAAAAAAAATAAAATAATATGTAAACCCTTTTTTTCTACAAAGATAAAATAAATATTTACCGAATTTAAAATGTTATAGGTAAATTTCACGTGGAATTGCCCTTATATACAAAAATTTATAAGCATATCTAATCAACATTATAAAAATATGTATGTCTTTTTCAGTAAAGGCAGATAAATTGAAAATAATTTTATACAGAAACTGTCTCTTACTTGAACAATACATTTAAAAAGAAATTCTGTACACATTTCCGATTTGTAGTTGTATAAAAATCGGATATATAAATTTTTTAGTCTACGGCCAGAAATGATAAGACAAACAATGTTTTGGAGGTTTCTTATCCACCTAGATGGACGTTTAGCTACTTCGTATTAATAATGTATTATATTGATCTTCTATCGTTCTATTAATTTCTTAGTAATTTATTAAACTTTTACGACTAAGTAGTTAGTTGAACATTAGAATTGCAATTTTATTTACCTTTGCTTTCCATCAAGATCTGAAACTGCCTCAATAAGTTTTAAATGCTTTGGACAAATTTCTTGTTTGCTTGCAGTTTTTGTAATTGATTTCTCCATAGCTAGCAAAATTTCATTAACTTTTAAAATTGAAATCTATTTCAAATTGCCATTAAGAAGATTATGAATTCTTGTGGAACATAACCATGAAGAAATAATAAATATACACGTGAACGTATAACATGTGCATGCATTTGCAGGTCACTGACAGGTTATGATTCACATAGTCAGGTTTCGCCACACGCAAGTAAAAAAAGTCAACCAATCATATCCTTACCATGGAAGTATCCATCTTGACTCGCATAAAGTTTATGGAGCGTTCACAGCTCGGCTGTATCAGAGATTAGGCTCTGTCACTTGTGACGTCAGAGGCCTGGAGGGACAACAAACAAACGATACAATGTTATTCTTATGGGGAAGAAAATTTGTTTCCACTTTTATCAATTTTATTCATACTTTAAACATGGAAAACGCTTGTTGAGATATAATAAAATTAAAATGTGTGTTGATAATTAATTTTGTTATATATTTGATTCAATTGCATTTATAGATTCTCTGAATTCGTGATAAAATATAAATTTTGAGGTTAGGGGTGTTTATTTACTAACTTGAAATCTTTTACTGCTGTGGTAATTCCCACTTAAAATATATATTTTATATCTTTTTAATAACATGCATACTGGATATTGTTTAATAATGTTGTTAAAATGTAAAATTTGATTAGTAAACAAACTTTTCTAACCTCAATATTTATATTTTATCACGAATTGAGAGAATCTATCAATGTAATTGAATCAAATATATAACAAAATTAATTATCAACACACATTTTAATATTATTATATGTCAAGAAGTGTTTTCCGTGTTTAATGTATGAATAAAATTGATGACAGTTGAAACAAATTTTCTTCCCCATAAGAATAACATTGTGTCGTCTGTTTGTTGTCCCTCCAGGCCTCTGACGTCATATCTTGAACTCGAAATATCTCGATGAACTGACACAGCCTAATAGACAATTAGAGTAAAAGAGAAAAAATATATTTGTGTATCTATGCGCCACCAGTAAGCACTCACTCGCGTTAAGGTACGGTCACACGACTTTTGGAAAAACCATTCATGTCTTTCTCTCTCCTAAGACAGAGGCATAAGATTGTCTCACTCTGCATTTTCTTACATTTCCCAAAGACGGAAAATGCAGAGTGAGACAAACTTATGCGTCTGTAATAGGAGAGAGAAAGACAAGAATGGTTTTTCCAAAAGTCGTGTGACCGTACCCTTACGAGGCACGATTGAATCGACCCACTCGTGCATGCCTCGTAGTGTGCTTCGTGGTGTGATCCGTATCCGTTTCTTACGGAAGCTTTGACGATGCTTATTTGTTTTGATTGCAAACCCAGACAATTATTGGTTTTAAAAAAAGAAATGACATCAAATGTAAAATTATCTGATATACTTAATCAAACAATATTCATATTCTTGATAGATTTTATTAAACAATTGGATTTTAAATGTGCTTTCGTTTTATTAGTTTAAGGTTAATGTATGATCGTTTTGTTAGAAACAAAATAAAAAAATTATTTCTGAAAATTTTATATTTATTCTGTCATATTATATACATATATCTGCTGATATAAATTATTTACAAAGAAAATATATTAAAAAATAGAGAAATATGTTACTGATAAAAAGGTTTCAAGATAAAGTTGACTTTTAATACGTTAAATAAAAAATAACAATATTTATCAAGTTTTAAATAATAACAATATATATATTTAACAACATTTAAACATAAAGAAATTAAATTATTATTTGATTTTTAACTTGTAATTTATGTTATGTAGAAACGAATTAAAATTTTAAGAGTTAAACAAATGAATAAACGTAAACATTTTTGCACTTATTATTATTTAATCACTATAAATAATATTCTATCGACAATGTTAACCAGTATCCATAAAAATCTATTTAGGCTTATAAATTAATTTTTATGAAATTGTTTTGTTACATTTGATGTCATTTCATTTATTAAAACACGGTAATAACAATAAAATAATTATACTGGGTTTGTAATCAAAACAAATAAGCATCGTCAAAGCTTCCGTAAGATACGGATACAGAGCACGCTACGGAGCACGCTACGAAGCACACTACGAGGCGCGTCGGATATGTTTCAAATGAGTTAGAAAAGGACAGAAATATCGATCTTTCCTTTTCTACCTCATTCGACACACATCCTGCACACTGCTCCGTCTTTTCTTGTGCAAGCAGCCTTAGTTTAGCATTGGTGACGTCATCCGTCTGCGTTTACAAATGCTCTTAGGTCCATTCCACAATAGCTAAACGCAAAGTTAAAGCGCACGCAAAGATGACGCGCGCGTTGGTTCTAAGGTCCATTCCACAATAGCTAAACGCAAAGTTAAAGCGCACGCAAAGATGACGCGCGCGTTGGTTCTAACCAATCAAACCAACGCGCGCGTCATCTTTGCGTGCGCTTTAACTTTGCATTTAGCTATTGTGGAATGGACCTAACCAACCAAACCAACGCGCGCGTCATCTTTGCGTGCGCTTTAACTTTGCGTTTAGCTATTGTGGAATGGACCTTAGGGCCGATTCCAGAATGGAGACGCAGACGCAACGCAAACGCGACGCATCCCCATTTGGGCCCTCTCCAGAAAGGCCTTTCTCCAATAGGATCCTAAACTCTTGCGTTGCGTATGCATTGCGTCGGTTGCTATTGGCAACCAATGCTAAAATCAACGCGTCAGTCACGCAACGCAAAAGTTTAGGTTCCTATTGGAGAAAGGCCTGAATGGAGCTAAACGCAACGCAGAAGCGACGCATCGCAATGCTAAGCAAATGGGGATGCGTCGCGTTTGCTATGTATGCTATGTATATGTTTGCTATGTTTGCACTCAGGGTCTAGTGACAAAACGCAACGCAAAACGCTGCCATGGGACTGCAGCCTAAGCATTGCGATGCGTCGCGTCTGCGTTGCGTTTAGCTCCATTCTGGTGAAGTTGGCTCTACATTGAACGTGTACGTCAACACGAAGTGCTGACGTCACAATGTTAATCAAATGGGTGCGTTGTGTGACTAACGCGTTGGTTCGCAAGCACAGTGACGTCATCAAAGCATTGATACCAATCGCGAACAAAAAGTTTGGTTTATGTTCCTCTTATCCCTGTTTTCCAACTTTACAATTTTTAATGTAAATGTTTCTCGATGGCTTTTAATAATTTTATTTATTTAATATTTATAAGTAAAAAAATCAGTGTCTTAAAATCATAAACCAAACTTTTTGTTCGCGATTGGTAACAATGATGACGTCACTGCGCTTACGAACCAACGCGTCAGTCATGCAACGCAAAAATTTAGGAACATAATGGAGAAAGGCCTTCAGGCCATTACCCCGAAATAAAATGCAGAATGCAAAACTGAAATTATAAAATAAGAATAAAATACCATATATATTAATAACATTTGACATATTCATAAAGATAAATATAATTATTAATGACATAACGATAAATGTATAAAAAAATATTACATATATAATTTTTTACATTTAGTATAATTATATAAAGGGTATATAAAAAAAACCAGGACAGTTGGATATTTTCTAAGAATTTTATATCAGGGTACGGTCACACGACTTTTGGAAAAACCATTCTTGTCTTTCTCTCTCCTATTACAGACGCATAAGTTTGTCTCACTCTGCATTTTCCGTCTTTGGGAAATGTAAGAAAATGCAGAGTGAGACAATCTTATGCCTCTGTCTTAGGAGAGAGAAAGACATGAATGGTTTTTCCAAAAGTCGTGTGACCGTACCTTTAAAGAAAAACGGCAAATGAAAAAGTTGTTCGGAATATAAAAATCTATTAAAATATGGGACACGCGATCAGGCTATTAAATGTTTGATTATATTAAAATATTATTAAAATAATAGTATTAAAATATACATTTTAACCACACTATTGTTATAGTTGAGATTGAAAAAAATACTCTAACAATTCTCTTTTTCTGTTCTTGTCTTATACATGTGTTTCCATGACAACACATGCGTTAGAAAAGGACAAAAAGTGTAGGTATATCTGGCCACGAGTGATGCTTCTAATTTTCTGTCTTTTTCTAACGCACGTGTTGTCATGACAACGCTTGTGTAAGACAAGAACAGAAAAGTGTACACTCGTGGCCAGATATACGCCAATTCGAAAACGACCTTCCTTTGTGTCCACGTCAACCAATGAAAATAGAGTCATGTAGAAGCAGCTTAAATATAATACAGTGAAAAAAAAACTATAGAGACTTTTTGTCTATCCCCAACCAAAACATAAAAATAATTTTAATTCAAAATGGTGTTAGTTTCAATTAGAGTGAACCTTGAATAATATTTATTTATTCCATATAATTTTTATTGTTCTATTCCTGCAAACCCTATAGTAAACTAATTTTTCAAAATTCCATAACAGCTTTAGGGACTAACTTACATTCTTTTTATTTAATTTAATTTAGTGACTCCCTTTAATTTAAACACCTGATTTTCTTGTCGTTTTTTATCACAATCAAATAAAAAAATCAGAAAAGTCTGTGAGAAAAAGTGCAAAAAACGGACTTTGACAGTTTTCTACGCATTTCGACTGCAGTACGTGTAAAAAGTCTATTGAAATACAGTTTTAACGGATATAGCGGGGTAGCCATCTTGACCATATCTTGTCTCTTGACTGGGAAAAGGGACATTTATATTTTCGGCCATTTTTGTTGCGTCGACGTCAAGTTCGTAACGACCAAGTCTTTTGTCGCCGTTCTTTTCCAAATCCATTAACTAATTTTATTCATTTTCTTGTACTGTGAAGAGTTTGTTGAATAAGTTCTGTTTTCGGTTTGTTAAGAAATAAAGAACGTTTCCCTAACAAGGCTACGAAAATTACGCACTGAGGAGGAGTAATATGAGTAATGCAGCCAACCAAAATGGATCAGGTCTAGAGCAGCAAGTGAGTAACTGAGATTTTCATTACTTTTCATAACTAATGCGCTATTAAATAACCTTTTACTTGTTGATCTCTAATTTTGTCACGTTGTCTTCCCCATGAAATTCATTATAAGAGAATGTCAAATTTCCTTAAGTTATCAAACATGAGCATGATGAGACTGTTCATAAATACGAAATTTTAATAAAATTATTTTTTTATTCTACTGGCTTCAATTAGTTCTTCCTAGTTACGTTTCTAACAGTTGTTTCTTTTTCGTTTTACTTTTCATATAATTATAAGTCATATTTTTTGCTCTTAAATGCTTGTTTAACTGAAATTTAATTTTGAATTTCATTCATAAACAGGCCATTGAAGCTCTTTCGTAGTTAAGTGTAATTAATATTTTTTTTAAAATCTTAAATATGTTCCAAAAGATGTAAAACTAAGTGATAATTTTTCAAGAGGAAAATTGTTGTCTTTGCCTTTGACAAATGACAAAAGTTTACACTCTTAAGCAGATTTTGAATAATATCAATTTTCTCATCAATAAAAATAATGTATAACAAATATATAATTTCTATTAACTTACAACATCTTGTGAAATTTCCATAATTTGTTAGTGTTACAGGTTATGCTAGAATTTTGACAAAAATTTCAAAATTATTGATTAAATGTGAAAAATATTAGAATAAAAATTGAAATTAAAATTAGAATCCAAATAGTTTTTAATAGATTGAGAGTGTTACGTGAAATTTAAATACCAAATTAAAAATTAATAAACAGAAAATAAGTACTTGGGGCCCAATTTTATAAGCTGACATTTTTATTGAATTAAAATTTAAACCTATTTTTCAACTATTAGAATTTCCATGAAATGAATTTTATGATTAACAAAACTTGATCCAATTTGTAAATAATTTATAATTGCATTTAATTTTTATTAGTTTGAAATTTTATGTAGTCGAAGTCTCATTTGACAAAATCTTCAAATCAGCAACATTTTATTTTCTTTGTCCGATAAAACATTTGTCGTAAACAATTCAATACGAATTTAAAAACTATCCAACTACAATTTTCTTGATTTTATTTGATTGGTTAATTTTGAAATTTATGTTAAAATGTTTATGATGGATGTTTTGTGGGTCGAAGCAGAACCAATTTTTAAAATTTAAGATTTTTACATTTCGGCTTCTAATCAAATAAACCGTACACAAAACAAAAAATTCTACACATTTATTTTTACAGGAGAAAATTTGGCACATTATATTTAGACAAGTTTAATTTACTACATTGAGAGATTTTACTTAAATTTATAAAGAACGAATCTTAACTCTGAAGATATTTTTATCTTTAATTATTAAATACCACTGAGTGATAAATTCATTTTTACATAATATATAAAGAATGCTTTTAACTTCTACACAGTTTAATTTAACAAGAAAAAATTTTACATTCTTTTTAATTTAATTTTTTGGACATCAATGTTTATTCAAAGCTTGTTTAAAATCTGGTACAATCTTCATTAGCAAAAGCTGAATGAATAATCTTAAATTAACTCTTCACACTTTATTCAGCTTAAATATTATTATGTAGTTAACAATTTTATTCAAGGTGTCTAACGGTCAGGGAAAAGTCAGGGAATTTCTTTAATTTTCTGGAATTTTTTATGAATAAGTTAAAGTAACTATTAGTTTCAAAAAAATTTTTACTTTTTTCCCAAAGCAAATGCAAATTAAAAATTTGTCCTTCACACTCAATTATTAAACATGTGATATCTTATATTCATTAAGTAAATAATTATTTACTACTATTTATTGAATCTAATAAATGATTTTTTAAACTTGGAACAATTAATTAATTTTTTTCAGTGAAATATTTGGTTTTTTAAAATAAATAAAAATTATTTGATACAATTTTATTTTATCGGTTCAACTTCATCAATAAATTCATTAATACGAATAATTTATTATTTAATGATAATACCCACATTTAACTTATAAAAATTTTTACCGTCGTCGAATCTTAAATTATCGAATTTCTATTTAGCAGAACTCTTATAAAGCATTTTTTCTAATACTTTTTAAAAAATTTTAATTAAAATAATTTCAATTTGACGAAATTTATGTCTAGAAAAATTGAGAAAGAAAGAACTCAGTAGAATTTTTCTTAAATGAGAATTCTGTTAAATAAGAATTAGATCGAATTAAAATTTTCTTTGATAAAAACTTTGTTAATTAAGAATTTTGTTAAATAGAAATTCTGTTAATTGTGGATTTATTCAATGACAATTCTGTTAAGTAAATATGTATTTTGATAAATCGAAATCTACTAAAATACCAATTCTGTTAATAAAATTTTTCTTTATGCAATTTTTCTTTACATAAATTCCGTTAAATTGAAATTGTACACTGAAAAAAAGAACTAGTAGGTTTTACTACTTTTTAACTGCTCTGCGTAGTACAATAGGTCCTCAACTGAATTTAAAAGGTTCTATTGACTATATAAAAATAGTTAAACCATTTAATAATGTAATTGGTAGAATGACATTTTGTGATTGTATTAACTCAATTTAAAAATGTTGAAACAACTCAAGATGTAAGTAGTAGATTTTACTACTTAAGGCCAGGTCCAAGTCGTGTCAGCTGTTCCATTGAAACTTCAAAGGAACAGCTGACTCGACTTGGACCTGGCCTTAAAGTACAATAGGCTTTAAGAACATTTTTGTTGTAGAATTAATAAATCTTTTGCAATTAAAACTACTACTTTAAGCAGTAGATTTTACTACTTAAAATAGGAAAATAAAATTATTATTATTATTATTATTATTATTATTATTATTATTACTTATAATAATACTTATAATAATTTCCGTATTCATTCATTCCGTCTGTCCACACTTGAAGTTAGTCGTATTTTGTTCCTTTTGTTTTTTAAAAATTTTGACAATTCTTGATTTCGTAATATTTTATGGTTAACGCGACGGATATTTTTATTCATCGTCATTAATTAAGTCATATACAAAGTGACAGTTTAAAGTAAAAAAAATATTGTTCATTGTGTGCAGCACCAGTATATTCCCTACTTGGTATTTATAGAAAAAAAAGTTTCAATTATAATATAATTTTTATTATTATTTATAAATTTATTATATTAGGTATATATACATTTTTTTATATAATGATTATTACAGATAATTAGAACATTTTAACTTATAATTATTATTTATTTCGTTATTTTTTTATTATTCATTATTATTTATTATATATTATTATTCATAAATTTATTATTATTAATTTGTTTTTATTATTAATTATTAAATTGTTATATTTTTTTATCTGTAAACAATATAAAAATAGTTTGCTTTTTTAAAAAATTTTCAATTTGATTTTAATTTTTAATTTAAGTTTAAAGTTTAAAACATTACAAAGTTTTTTTTAGGTTTTATTTTTTCAAAATTTTTAAATATTTTTTAATTGCTTAATACTTTTTAAAATATAATTAATTTTCAGTTAATTTAATTTTCTTTTTCATTACATAATTTTTTAATATTTAATTATTAATTAATTAAATTTTTTGAAAAAAACATAAATTTAAAATTTTCATTTGCAACGAAATATTTATAGAAAATACAAAAAAATATTTAGCAAAACTAATTTTTTGTAATTTCAAAGATTATAAAAAATCATCCAATTATGAGCTGGCTTAACTAAAAAACCACTATTTATATAACATCAAACTCATTTTTTTCTGTGTATAAATACATGATAACGTGAAAATTAGAAATATACCTATTATTAATTTATTACTCCACTGATGCAGAATTATTATTATTATTAATATTATTATTATTTTAAAACAACCATTAGATTCAAAGTTGGACGCGCGCGTGTAATTTTGCTAGTTATTTATTATTTATAATTGTTTGTTAACAGTAGAATTGACTTTTTCAGAGGCGCATGATTAAACCTCAAATTTGTTTTTTCGAATTTTTTTTTCTCGAAAATCGTTTTATCTAAAAGGAATTGACTATAATTTTTTGAACTCGAATCGTCAGATTATATAATAAAAATACTTTCGAATTATTATTTGACAGAATTTTTTAACTTCGAAAGAACATTTTTTATAATTTTCAATTTACCGTATAATCATTTCTCATAATATTGTAGAGAATTAGTATTTTTCAAAATTTTTATTTTTCCAAAAACCTGTTTATACTATTTTTGATTTTACATAATTAACATTGCTTATAATTTTTTTTCTTCGAATTACCATTTTTCATAATAAATATTTATTCGAACAATTAGGTACTTGTTCTAAAATGTAATTTATCAAATTTATATTTTTTCTATTTTTATAAGTTACGATTTGCTATTTTATATAATTTTCATTTTACCCAATTGCCATTTCACATAATTTCTAAATTTTCTAATTATTATTTTTCCGAATTTTAATTTTAACGAATTATTAATATTAGAATTAATTCTTTTCGGAATTACCATTTAACATAATTTCCCCTAATATATATTTATAATAATCTCTATTTTCTCGAATCGTTATATGCCATAATCAGAATTTTATAGAAACTCCATTTGCCCTAACATACTTCCGGTCAATTTCAGTACTGTAGTTTAAATATGGTACCTGGTACTATCTTGATTGTACCCCGTACCATCTATTTCTCTCCGTGTACATAAAAAATGTTTTTCAAGCTTATCGAATTAATTAAAATAGTAAAAATCTACTACTTAAAATAGTAGTTCTAATTACAGACGACTTGTTAATTCTACAACAAAAATTTTATTGAAACCTATAAAATCATAGAAATTAATAAAAAATTTACTACTCAAAAAGTAATTATATCAATTAAAGAAAATAATTCCTTTTACTACTTTTCATATAACTGGTGAATAGTAGTTGGATTTACTAGTCTTGAAATTTTGAGTTGACTACCGACCTGCAGTTGTACTTTAACTACATATTTTCGTAAAATCAACTATTACTTATTAACTTCTTAAAAATAG